GGAAGTGGTAGAGACCAGTATAATTACATCATTTGAAGGACATTTGGACAGGTACATGGATAGGAAAAGTTTAGAGGGATATGGGCCAAATGCAGGCAAATGGGACTAGTTCAGTTTGGGAAACCGAGTCAGCATGGATGAGTTGGGCTGAAGGACATGTTTCTGTGCTGTTTGACTCTATTCTTTAATAGACGTGGCACACTACCACTATGCTACAAGAACCCACAGAAAACATGTAAACTGCGCTTAGTTTCAACTCTGAAACTAACAGCTCCTCTGTGGTATTGCTCACGACAAGTCAGAGACTCATCCAGTTTTTCCTCAGATGCATGAAGGATGCCCAGCTGTAGATAATAACACCCCTCCTTACCACCCTTTTAAAAACTTCTTTCTAAAAAAGGCACTGCCCAGCCCCACCTGGCTGTCAACGGTAACCATCCTATGGCATGGGCAGTATATTATTTAGGCCAACAAGCTTGTTAACAAGCCTCACTGACCTATAATTATTCATTATGGCAGGCAGGCTGGCTGTTTTGGAATTCATCCACTTGGCATATTATGGGATTGAGCTTGCGGCTGGGTGGGAAGGTGGGCTAGCCAAGCTGGAACATGCATAGTGGGTGCACATAAAATCTATTCCAAAAAATGTGTCCTTGAGTGTCTGTAGCATGCGTTTTGACCATCTTGAACAATACCAGGTCATCAGGTAAAACCACACTAGTCTACTAAAGGAAATATAATGGCCAGAACACTGAAGAAACAACCAGCTCATTAGTGCAAAAGTGCCAAAAGTAACAGATTGTAGGAGAACAAACAATATAAGTCAAAGGTGAGTCATGCAGTTGGAACCTGAAGCAAACAAATCTAAACAATATTTTTAATCCAACAAGGGAGCATCAACATATACAATTACCACTTGCTGACAAGCAAAGTGTCTGTACCATTTGTGATAACTGATATGCACATCAACACAGCACTTTGAGCTGTAATCACCACAGGCAGATGCGTTGTTTGATATGGAAAATGGTTCAGGGTTAACCACTGTGCGTAACCCTTGGTATCGCTCACCCACCCACTGTCCAACCTCACTATCTATCAACTAATGAATCTTCATCTGCAAATACATTGGCCATGGAAATCCAGAATGAATGAGCTGTGTCATCCTGGTAATATGCTCCACTTAAGCACAAGAGTAAACAAATTTCCCCAATGTCAGTGAGTGCTTGGGCATTAGCAATTTGTAGTGATTGATTGTGAAGAAGTTATTGCTGTGAAATAGATGTGTAACACAGGCTTTTATCAATCTGAGTGACAAAGCAGGCAGTACCCTATTTACAGATCCTAGCTGAATAAAGTGACATCAGGCACTCCTCCTGTTTAAATGACAAATCAGTGGTTTATGGTGCCAAGAGTATTTTAATCTGGTGACTCTTTCAATGAAAACGGGAAAATAAATTTGAACCTCGGCAATATTGGCCATATGGCAAAACAAGGCTTAAAGCTAAAGCAAATGGCATTAAAAGCAAGGGCAAATAGATGCAATGTGTTTGGATAAGAAGCATTTTAATCATAATCCCTGATTAAATATCAGTGCTTTCAAAGCCAATAACATACTGATAGCAATTGATGCTCAAAATTAAATATTAACCCTGTTTAGTTACTCCAGAGAGCCCAGGCTTTCAATTTTGCCATCAATTTACTTGATTAAGTAGGACTTTAGAAGGGACACACAATTAATTACCTATACCATACAGTCATATCAAAGGCTATAGATACAGCTTCACGATATGTTGTCCTATTTCACTGTATTTAGATAATAAAAGTAGAGGTGAACTAATACACCCTTAAATCTATTTACTCAGTGCTTTTCACAAATCACCATTGCCCAAAATCCTTACAGGAAAAGATTCCCAATGATTATTGCAGTGGAATTACTGCTTAGCTTAAAGCAGCAAGGGAGCAATCAATAATACTATAACTATATTGGCATGATTCCAGCTGACGGTAATAATGAACAATTCAGATGATTCATGATTAAAATCTGACATTTTGGTTATCTTGATGGTTAGTCACTGAACATATTCAGTCACTCAACATATTCACAAAAAACTGCCAATGTACTTTTAATAAAAGAACACAAGATAATAAGATATAGGCACAGGAGCAAACTTTATTCTACAAAAGACCATAAGATATAAGAGCAGTATTAGGCCATTTACCCCACCGAGTCTGTGTTGCCATTCAGTCATGGGTGATATGTTTCTCAACACTATTCTTCTGTCTGCTCCCTGTAACCCTTGATCCCCTTACCAATCAAGAATCTACCTACTTCTGTCTTACATACACTCAATGACTTGGCCTCTACAGTGCTCTGCAGCAATGAGTTCCACAGATTAACCACCTTCTGACTGAAGAAATTCCTCCTCATCTCAGTTCTAAAGGGTTGCCCTTTTACTTTGAGGCTGTGCCCTCGGGTACTAGTCTCCCCTATTAGTGGAAAAATCCTCCCCACGATCATTCTATCCAGATCTCTCAGTATTCTGTAAATTTCACTCAGATCCCCTCTCATCCTTCTAAACTTCATTAAGTACAGACCCAGAGTCCTCAAATCCTCCACACATGAGACACCCTTCATACCCGGAATTATCCTTGTAAACCTCTTCCAGATCCCCTCCAATGCCAGCAAATCTTCCCTTAATTATGGGACCCAAAACTGCTCAGAATATTCCAAATGCAGCCTGACCAGAGCCTTATACCGCCTCATTAGTACATCTCTGCTCTTGTTTTCTAGCCCTCTTGAAATGATTGCCAACATTGCTTTTGCCTTAACCGTCAACTGAACCTGCACATGAACCTGAAGAGAATCCTGAACTAAGACTCCCAAGTTCCTTTGCACTTCAAATTTCTGAAGCATTTCCCCTTTTAGAACATAGTTTTTATCTCTATTCTTCCTACCAAGGTACATAACCTCACATTTTCCCACATTGTATTTCATCTGCTACTTCCTTGACCACTCTCCTAGCCTGTCCAAATCCTTCTGCAGCTTCCCCACTTCCCAACTTGTCCCTCCAATTATTTGTGTCATTTGCAAACTTAGCAACAATGCCCTCAGTTCCTCTGCCCAATCATTAATGTATAACATAGATAGTTGAGGTTCCAACACTAACTCCTACGGAACTCCACAAGTCATTGGCTGCCATCTTGACAAAGACTGCTTTATCCTGTGACTCCTTTATCCTGACTCTCTGCTATCTGCCAGTCAGCCAATCCTCTATCCATGCCAATATCTTGCTCCTAACACCTCTTATTTTAGTTAGCAGTCTTCTGTAAGCCACGTTGTCCTTCAAAGGCCTTCTGGAAATCAAAGTAGATCACATCCACTGGCTCTCCTTTGTCTAACTTGCTCATTTCCTCCTCAAAGAATTCTAAGAGATTTTTCAGGCATGACCTCCCATTGACGAAGCCGTGCTTACTTAGTCTAATTTTACTGTGCACTTCCAAGTACTCTGCAATCTCATCCTTAATAATGCGCTCTAAAATCTTACCAACTTCTAACCAACCTATAGTTTCCTGTCTTCTGTTTCCCTCCCTTCTTAAACAGGGGTGTTACCTTTGTCCTCTTCTTGTCCCTGGTACCCTCCCTGACTTCAGTGATTCCTGAAATATCACTGCCAATGTCTTTACAATTTCCTCAGAAATTGTAAAGTATCTAAGGTTTTAGAGTTCAGAACTCTGGGGTGTTGTCCATCTGGTCCAAATAATTTATTCACCTTTAGATCTTTCAGCTATCCCATCACCTTCTCTTTAATGATGGCCACTACACTCACCCCTGCTCTCTGCCTCTCTTAGAAGTTCTGGTATGCTGCTAATGTCTTCCACTGTGAAAACTGATGCAAAGTATGTATTCAGTTCCTCTGCCATTTCTTTGTTCCCATTACAAATTCTCCAGCCTCATTTTCCAGTGGTCCAATGTCCACTCGTGCCTTGCTTACCTTTCAGATATCTTTTAAAAAATCTTGCAATCTTCTTTTATGTTACTAGCTAGCTCATTCTCATATTTCATCTTCTCACCACTTATTGTTTTTTTTGGTATTGTCAGCTGATTTTTAAAGGTTTCCCAATCCTCAACTCTACCCCCATAGATTCTACGCCTTCTGATCCTATATCACTTCTTGGTATTCATTTAATTTGATTTCTTACTAATAAGGCAATCTTATTAGTATTAGATGGACAGAGCCTGTCTATCTGCCTGTTCTTTTGATAGAAAGGGGCAAAACAAAGACTGGCAACTCAGAAAGCTCTTATCATAGACATCATAGAAACAGAACATGGGAGCAGGAGTTGGCCATTTGTCACTTCAAGACTGTTCCCATTCAATGTGATCATAGCTGATTATTCAACTCAGTACCCTGTTTCCAATTTTTCCCATACCTTTTGATCCATTTACCTCTAAGAACTATAACTAACTCCCTTTTGAAAACAGTCAATGTTTACATTCAACTGCTTTCCGTGGCAGAGATTTCAAAGGTTCACTATTCTTTGGGTGAAGAAGTTCCTCATCTCAGTCCTAAATGGCCTAACCAGATCCTTAAACTGTGATCCCTTGTTCTGGGTCCCTTGATCATCAGGAAAATCTTTCCTGTACTAATTCTGTGCAGTCCTGTTAGAACTTTATAAGTTTCTCGGAGATCTCCCCTCATTCTTCTAAACTCACGTGAACTGATCCAGTCTCTCTTCATACATCAGTCTTGCCATCTCATCAAAAAAGATTCAACCCTTTTCCAGCAATACACCTTACAGGCACGCAATCAGAGTGATGAATCATTATCTTTACTTGAAAAATTTTTACACAGTTGTCAAGGTCACAGTGTTACCTTTCAGTGACTTTCTGCAGGTTCACTAGTTGTGTTGTTGGGCTAAATAGGCTTTAGCTGTTGTTACTTAATGCTCAAAGGTAATGATTATTGTTGAAGGAACTACCTAAAGAAAATAATACTCACATATCTATGGGTCTTAAAGGCATCTAGTGGACCACTTGTGCACACTTTGTCTCCTTCTAGACCAATCACTCGTTTGCAAATATTCATTTTGGGATTATTGGGACTTTTAGCAATTACCACATCACCTCTGTGGACAAAATTCCAAGTGAGATTAGAGGAAATATATATAAACAGAAAAATTACTGATTTAAAGATTCTGATACTTGTAATTTCGTGGCCACTTACTTTTCAATGCGATAAAACTGTCGACTGAGTTTCTCAGAGATAATTACATCATAGGTCTTAATTGTAGGCTCCATGGAAGGACCGGAACACTGCAAATGAAGGAAAATACATTGCTGACTTTTAAGCAAATATATTGAACATATTTAAGCAAGCATGTTGAAAAATCTTTCCTGGAGCCACCGACAAAAACATTGGTTCGGAAATTTCTGCTGTCTTTGGGATAATAGTATTCAAACTTCGAAAGTATTCCATTGAAATTTCAATTAAAGATGTTTTTTGATTGAAAGAACAAAATTGCCATTATTTTTCCTTTTCACTCTCCAATGACAAACATCCCATTTTTGATTTATAAGACATGAGATTGAGACACAATCTCATTCAATCATTTAAAAAATTCCAATTGGGTTTGATAGGTTGATGCAGTAAATATGCTTTAGAACTAGAACTTTCGATCTAGAACCAGGCAACATAGTCACGGAAAAAAACATATGCCATTTGGGACATAGGAGTTAAAAGTAGGCCATTCATTCTGCTTTTCCATTCCAGACTATGGCCAATTATTCACACTATCTCCAATTCCCTCATTGTCATTCGTTTCTAGAAATCTAACAATCTATATCTTGAACATAACTGAGCTTCCACATCTTTCTGAAATAGAGAATTCCATATCCTCTGAGCGCAGAAATTCTTCATCATCTCATTCCTAGTGGAATTCTCTTTATTCTGAAACTGGGTCTTCTGGTTCTAAAACTGCAGCCAGGGAAAGCTTCACTTCTGCACGTACACTTTCAGCCCTTAAAGAATTTTATAAGTTTCAATTAGATCATATCTTATTTTCTAAAACTCTAGAGAATTCAGGCCCAGGCTTTTCCATCTCTCCTCATTGGATAGTTCCACCAACCCTGGAATTAGTTTGGTGAACCTCTGCTGCAGTTCCCCTATGAAAATATATCCTTCCTTCAATAAAAGTCAAAATCTGCACATACCCAATTCTCTAGGTGATGTCTCACCTAGGTTCTATACAATTGAGGCAAGACATCTTTACTCCTGTACTCAAATCTTCTTATGATAAAGGCCAACATACTATTTTCTTTCCTAACTGTTTGCATGTTAACTTTCATGGACTTATGAACAAGAACATAGAAGTCCCTTGGATATTAACATTTTCCAGAGTCTCATCATTTAAGAAATACTCTGCACTTCCCTTCCTCTGACCAAAAATGTTTCCCTCACACTTATCCACATTATATTCCATCCGACATGTACTCGTCTCCTCACTCAATCTGACCAAATCCTCTTGAAACCTCTTTGCACCCTCCTCACATACCATATTTCGAATTTGTTTTTGGTCATTGGTAAACTTAGAAGTATTACATTCGAACCGCAAATCCAAATCGTTGACATGGATTATAAACAGATGGGACCAAGTATTGATTCTTTTAGTACCGATTAGTCACATTTTGAGAATTTGTTTATTTTCTGTAACTTATCCTCAACCCATGCCAGTACAGTTACCTTCAACTCCATATGTTTACTAATCTCTGGTGGTACCATTTCAAACTCTTTCTGAAAATCCAATTTCACCACCTTTAATGGCTCCACTTAATCTATTCTATCATGCTCAAAAATCTCCAACACGTTTGTCAAATATATGATTTCCCTTTCATAAATCTGTGTTGACAATGCCCAATCAGGTCATCATTTTCTGTGTCAACCAGGTGCAGAGCTGGATGAACACAGCAGGCCAAGCAGCATCATAGGAGCAGAAAGGCTGACGTTTCGGGCCCAGACCCTTCATCAGAAATGGGGGAGGGGAAGGGGGTTCTGAAATAAATAGGGAGAGAGGGGGAGGTGGATAGAAGATGGATAGAGGAGAGGATAGGTGGAGAGGAAACAGACAGGTCGAAGAGGCGGGGATGGAGCCAGTAAAGGTGAGTGTAGGTGGGGAGTTAGGAAGGGGATAGGTCAGTCCAGGGAGGACGGACAGGTCAAGGGGGTGGGATGAGGTTAGTACGTAGGAGATGGGGGTGCGGCTTGAGGTGGGAGGAGGGGATAGGTGGGAGGAAGAACAGGTTAGGGAGGCGGGGACGAGCTGGACTGGTTTTGGGATGCGGTAGGGGGAGGGGAGATTTTGAAGCAGGAAGTGCTACACCTGCCCCCATACCTCCTCCCTCACCCCCATCCCAGGCCCCAAGAAGACTTTCCACATCAAGCAGATGTTCACCTGCACATCTGCCAATGTGGTATACTGCATCCGCTGTACCCATTGTGGCCTCCTCTACATCGGGGAAACCAAGCGGAGGCTCGGGGACCGTTTTGCAGAACACCTACGCTCGGTTCGCAATAAACAACTGCACCTCCCAGTCGCGAACCATTTCAACTCCCCCTCCCATTCCTCAGACGACATGTCCATCCTGGGCCTCCTGCAGTGCCACAACGATGCCACCCGAAGGTTGCAGGAACAGCAACTCATATTCCGCTTGGGAACCCTGCAGCCCAATGGTATCAATGTGGATTTCACAAGCTTCATAATCTCCCCTCCCCCTCCTGCATCCCAAAACTAGTCCAGCTCGTCCCTGCCTCCCTAACCTGTTCTTCCTCCCACCTATCCCCTCCTCCCACCTCAAGCCACACCCCCATCTCCTACCTACTAACCTCATCCCGCCCCCTTGACCTGTCCGTCCTCCCTGGACTGACCTATCCCCTCCCTAACTCCCCACCTACACTCACCTTTACTGGCCCCATCCCCGCCTCTTCGACCTGTTTGTTTCCTCTCCACCTATCCTCTCCTCTATCCATCTTCTATCCGCCTCCCCCTCTCTCCCTATTTATTTCAGAACCCCCTTCCCCTCCCCCTTTTCTGATGAAGGGTCAAGGCCTGAAACGTCAGCCTTTCTGCTCTTATGATGCTGCTTGACCTGCTGTGTTCATCCAGCTCTGCACCTTGTTGTCTCAGATTCTCCAGCATCTGCAGTTCCTACTATCTCTGATCATTTTCTGTGTGTCCAGTTGTCACGTCCTATACTTTAGATTCTAATAATTTTCCCCATTATTAATGTCAGGCTAATAGGTTTGTGGTTCGCTGTTTTGGCTCGCCCACCTTCCTTCGATAATAATAAATAACAGTAATACATTTGCAAGCTTGTAATCTAGATGCACCATACCAGTATCCATAAAATATCAAAAGTTGATCAGCAATGCATCTAGTCTTTACACTCCACCTCTTTCAACATTGAGAAATAAAGCATTGGATCCCAGGAATTTGTCAACTTTCAGTCTCAATAATTTCTCGAAAACTGCTTTTTTTTTACTAATACTCATTTCTTTCAGTTCCTCATTCTGTCTAGTCCTAGGACTAGGACAGAGATGAAAAATATTTTTTTCCATACAATTAGTAATGAATCTTTAGAATTCACCACTCCAAAGGGCTGTGAAGGCTCAGTCATTGAATATATTCAAGACAGAGAGTGACAGATATCTCGATATTGAAGATATCAAGTGACATAGGGATAGTGTGTGAAATGACAATGAAGTAGAGCACCAGCCACAATCACGTTGACTGGCAGTTTGAAAGGCCTACGCTGGCTCCCACTTCCTATGCTATTAAATCTACAGTTAGCACACAGGCCTGCAAATAAAGGCAATCATATTTTAGCCTTTATTATAAAGGTTTTGGAGTATAAGGAAATCTTGCTGCAATTATACAGATGATGGTGAGACTAAACATAGGTTCCTCACTGAAGGAAAGATATACTTGCCTCAGAATGGATGCAACAAAGTTTACAAGATTGAATCATGGGATGAGAAGGCTGATCTTATGACACAAGATTGTACAGAACGGGCCTATATCCACCAAACATTTAAAGAATTAAAAGTGGTTTCATTGAATGCATAAAGTTAGACAGTTTGACAGGGTACTTACTAAGAGCGAGAGACATTGTCTCAGGATAAGGGCTCAATCGTTTAGTTGTGGCTCATTACAATTTTCTATAAAAGAGAACTGTGATGTTTCATTTAAGTGTATATTTAAGAGTCAAATTGAGACATTTTTGGGTACTAAATGATCAAGGAAAGTAGAATTGATATTAAAGTTCAGCCATAACCTTCAAGAATGAGTGGGCTTAATGACTATCCCTGCTCCTATTTCTTATGTTGTTATATTCTTATATTCTTAACTCTGAAACTACAATTCAATAATGGCTCTTTATGCATAATATCACTATCATAAATATAGATTCTGCCTTCCAGTGACATGCACTTCCAGTAAACATATGAATCTTTTGAACTAAAAATGGCAACATTCTATGATTAGCTAACATAGGCTTATACATTCTTGCCTCTGCATTGGCTTGCTTAAATATATTACTTCAGGTAATATCTGTGAATCTCAAAGGCATTAAGCAGAATCTTACCTCCTTCAAAGATTTTCAGAGGTGATGCCCAGCTGCCTATCTTCACAATCTTATTGGTCATTGCTAATTAGGCGGCTGAGTCTGGGAACACCAGTAAATTAAGAATGCAGAGGCCTGCACAGTGCTCCTGTCAACAGCACCACTAGGAGACGGGTGGACGGGAGAATGTGCAGGAAGATCAAGACATAGGCACCCTGTGAAGATCTAAGAAAATTATTGGTCAACATGGGTGGCAGGGTATTATTGTGGAAAGGAAATTCCTCCACAGCAAAGTGGAGCCCTATAGCAGAAGTATTTTGTGTGAGGCAGGGGAAATAAAGGAGGCTTTTCTGGCCTCCAGCTTGTCACCAGATAGCCACTCAAGGAATCTTGTATGGCCAGCAACATCCCCAATTTGGCTCCCCTCAGTATTTTAGTGATACAGTATTGCAAGGGTTTTGACTCTCCAAAAAGATATTCATCTAATTTTCTGGCCAAAATATTCACCATATGAACATATGAATTAGAAGCAGAAGTAGGCCATTCTGCCTTTCAAGCCTACTCAGTCATTCAATAAGATCATGGCTGATCTGCTTTTGTTCCAAATTGTACATTCTCACTTATCCCTGATACCTATTGATGTCTTGGCCTTATCAGAATCCATCTACCTTCACCTTAAAATGACCTGGCCTCCACTG